TATTATATTACATTATATTATATCACATTATATTTTATTATATTATATCATATTATATTACATTATATTATATCATATTATATTTTATTATATTATATTTTATTATATTATATCATATTATATTCTATTATATCATATTATATTACATTATATTATATTTTATTATATTATATCATATTATATTTTATTATATTATATTACATTATATTATATTACATTATATTACATTATATTATATTTTATTATATTATATCATATTATATTACATTATATTACATTTTATTATATTATATCATATTATATTACATTATATTTTATTATATTATATCATATTATTTTACATTATATTACATTATATTATATTTTATTATATTATATCATATTATATTACATTATATTACATTTTATTATATTATATCATATTATATTACATTATACTATATTTTATTATAATATATCATATTATATTACATTATATTACATTATATTATATTTTATTATATCATATTATATTACATTATATTATATTTTATTATATTATATCAAATTATATTACATTATATAATATCATATTTTATTATATTATATTTTATTATATTATATCATATTATATTACATTATATTACATTATATTATATTATATCATATTATATTGTACATGCAGTAGACAGGGGCTGTTCTTGACTTGACCAGTCAAACGTTAAGCTCCGCCCACAAATAAACTCCGCCCTGTCCCATTAAAAACGTCCCACTGCGACTGTAAAAAAAAAAAGATGGCGGCGAGTGTATTGCGGCTTTCCACCAGGAAAATGGGCGTTATGGCCCGTAATCCCAACTTGAAAACATCGTCCATGTTCAGGACGACTCAAAGCAGGACAGCGGTTTCCACCCAGTCTGGAGCAATCCTCCCGAAACCCGAGAAAGTGAGTGTTTTTCAACGTCTACCATATCGAAATATCGAGGACAGGGAGTGGGCGGGACTTTGCGCTGGATTGACAGCAGCATTGGCAAATAGGAAGGCAGGAGATTTGCTCACCGTCTGTTTTCAACCAATCAACGTGTGTTTTTACAAATGCAGGAAGTAAGTCTAGAGTCAAGGTTGTTAAATAAAATTAATAAAATTGTCACAACATGTAGATTAGTTTATTTTGCGAGTTGTGTTTTGATATAAAAACATATATTTTTTAGCGCATTGCCTTTTAAGAGGCATGAATGTCAAAATGCTCCGGAGATGCTAAACCTTGTGGTTGACAAGAGAAAACAAACAAGTTAAATAAACCCATATTGACAGATATGCAATGCATAAATAAACCCATA